CCCCAAAACCCCAAAACCCCAAAACCCCGAAAAGATTAGAATTAATTGAGAAATATTTAAAATATGGCTATTGAATTTGTTAAAAAGTTACAGAAAAGATCAAAGACGCTGCAGGGAGCTTTATTAACCTCATTATTCATATTCATGATGGCTTGTTGGTTGCATTCGCAAAATGCCTCCCAGCCTGTTCTGTATGAAGACATAAATTTTTTGAGCTCATTTTATGCTGAAACAATAAAGAAAGGAATAACTCTGTCATGATCAGATGAGAGTTTTGAAGATATTGGAGAACTCATTACCATTAAAGATGGCATTCTCCCTTATGGAGCAGTCAAATACACTTCTCTCAATTTTGATAAAATAACTGTAACTCCAGATTCAGTTAAAACTTTTGAAGAAGAGAGTGAAGCTACAAAGCATAGTGGAGACATATTTCTTCTTGAGAGCTTGCAAGGCGATACTGCAGATGTCTCTCACCATACCCATATATTTACTTCAAAGAAATCCGATCGAGATTTTTACCTAGCCATTGGGTCTAAGAAAGGAGATCAACCAATTCAGTATTCTGCAATCATAGAGTTTGTAGGTGCAGATATCAAGAATGTTGGGATCACAGCTATTAGATACAAAATATTTACAAAAAGCACACTGTATTTTTGTTCCTTGGATAATCAAACATTCTTTAAAGAAATGTCAGAGAGCATGATTGTGATGAAAAATGGAAGAGAAGTTGTCCTTGAAAGTATCTTTAGTGATTCAAACTCTCCATATAAGAGCATGACCTTTTCAACGGAAGTAAAAGATAGATTCATGACAGGATTCTTTTACTATATTGCAGGTCTATACTTTCTGTTCTGGTTCTCAATGATCCAATGCCTTCTGTTCTTGGAATTGTTTGATAATATCCAAAAAGGAATGAAACTGAAACCCAGAATCATTTTCTTTGTCAATTACACAATGATACATTTCTGGATGAACCTGATAGCTATATTTTTATCTACTACCTTCAGTCACAGAGACTTCATTGCAACTATAACTAGGATTGGAAGTAGTATCACAATGCTTGTTTACGGAGTTGCAATGGTCACTACATTCTTCCAAAAACTACTCGACAATCACAAATTGATTTGCTGGCTAATGTTCACTATCTCTCTACTCGTTTATGTTGCTATCTGGATCTTTGTGTTATACCCCTTCTTGGTTAGAATAGTAATTCTCGTGACGGCATCGTACATAACTCTCAGTTTTTTCTGGCTAATCACGATATTACTAAACTTTGCATTCGCAGTGCGAGCTTCACCACTAATATTTGTATGAGTTACAGTGTCAATATACATATTATTCTTCGGCTCAAACATATTCATGCCTAGCCAATACTTCGAGTCATTCCACTTCGGATTCATTTTCCCACTGCTAGTAGGGCATTTAGTTCTGATCGCAGTAATTTATTGTCAACAAAAATACGGATCTCGTTTCATGCTCCCGAACAGATACCGGACGAGAAAGTATCAGGCCATGCTGAAGACCCTGAACCGTGCGTACCTCCTCCAAGAATGCCAGTTGTGCATGAACAAGTTGTCAGATTGTGAACTTGAATATGCAGATGCTCATGAAGGCTTTGAGTGGAAGGATTATACCAATATGTACATCAAGACTGACTGTGATCACCAGTTCCACCCAAACTGCCTCTTTACGTTTATTAAGGAGGAGAGGAAATGTCCTGTCTGCGAAAAGCAGCTCCCAGAGAACCATTGGAATGATTAATAAGCTGAAAAGGATATTTGGAATTTTGTCAATCTTTGGATAATTTGGGGTTTTGGGGTTTTGGGGTTTTGGGGTTTTGGGGTTTTGGGG